AAAAGAGTGAAAATATATTAAAACTTTGCAGGAAATTATTTCTCGCCACTGGTCACACTGCATACAGGTTCCCAGTTTGCATAAACAACATAAATCTTTCTTAGAATCAATATACCACAATTTTGGTATCACAAGGGCTTGCAAACTTGTGAACTGTAAGTGAACCATGAACAGGTGGTCAGACAAGAATGTTTTCTAAACTAAAAATTATGTAAGAAATCAAATCCAGACATAAAAAGAAGCAAACTGTACAAAAATTTGAGGTGCCTGTTTCTTCACTCAGCTCCATCATACTTATGAAGCAGCACTGTTAGAGACATTTCAAAAGTGTGAGAAAGAAGCATCAAAGATCATGAAAATATTAACAAATAGAGAATGTGTTAATGGAGTGGTTTCAACAAAAATGCAAAGGGGGAGTACCAGCCAATGGCATAGTTTTGAGAGAGAAGGCACTGAAGATTGCCACCTAGTTAAGCCATCAATAATTGTGTGGAATCAAACCGTTCACAGATCATTTCAAACAACAAGCTGTGTACAGGGTCATATGTGGGGAAAATAAAAGAGTAGATTTTGGAACAGTGAATTATTAGAAATAAAAGCGACTTCCAAGAATTCTTGAATGATTTATTCAATGAAGATGAAACACGTTTCATTCATTACTCGCTGACAAAACATCAACATCTGAGAATTCTGTCATGATGGAAAAAAAGCAGAATGTGCTGATTAAAGAGAAGCCAGAACCCTTAATTCTGTGCTTCAAGTACATCAAAATCATGCCATACAACTATAAAAACAACAGCAATACCCAGGACACTACAGAGATGATTCTGTGGCATCTGAAAGCATTTGATGCAAAATGTTGGGCTGCTACTTCAAAGGTGCTTTCTTTTTTGTCTGGTGTCTAGCACAACTACCTCATAATACTTGCCTGATGAATATACAGATGATTTCTTGCCTGCAAACTGCACTAATGAACTGCAACTCTGAACTCTGGTGTAATTTGTGCCATGAAGTGGAGGCAAAGAAACTGGCAGCACACATTGACATGAGAAAGGAAAGTACTATGAAAATCAACGCTCTGGAAGCAATGCAGCTTTTAATTTCTGCTTGGGATGTTCTTTTAATACAGCAGGTTTCAACTGCAAGATGCATAGGTGGGCATAGCTGAAGATTTCTGTGATACTGTTGGTGAAGACCAAAATGTGGGCTTCTGAAAATATGTCAGTGGTGTCAACTTCATACACTTTTCTGGATATTGAAGAACTCTGTAATGTAGTGAGGGGGGAGGGCAGGAAGACTCAGAATGTGAGGAGGGGTAAGAAGGGGACCTCAGCTCCAAAAATATGGAGAAGCCATCACTGCATTTAAGGCTATGAAGTAGAGTATGAGTTCATGCAATACAGAAAATAACAATGGAGAATCTTCTTAACATGAGACTATGAAACTCACAAATTTCAATCACGTATTACTTATAAAAAAAGTTAACACAGGAGAGCTAAAACTGTTTTCCCTCCAAATCTAAGTCAAATATTTTACCCATAGTTCTTTCAAAACATGTGTTAGTAAACCAACACATTTTCAAGTTTCTTTCTCAGGGGTGATTACTTCAGAAAAGAAGACTGCATCTGACAAGCAACCTGAAGTAAACCAAGGAATAAATGTGTCATGAATATCCCAATTTGGTTAGTAAAGCATCATCAGACCATTAAAACTGGATGAATATACAAAGCTGTCTTTTCTCAATTCAATAAAAGCTGTTTCTTAGCTTTCTATGTGCCAAATAGGGGAAATGGGTAGATTCACCATAACTGAAGTACTAAATCTGTGCATTCACACATGCAGGATCATACCAAGAAAGGAGAGAATGTAGGTCCATTTGTACCGACAGGTCATGCAGCTAATTTTCATAATACCTGACTTCATGACCAGGATAACTATTGAAACACATCAGAAAAAGTAAATAGTACATACCATAAATGTTAATTTATGCAAAACTACAACAATTTCCAAGATTCTTCCTGGTTCTTGTTCAATCACTTTATGAATGATATTTATCTGTCACAATAGGTTTGTGATCTGGAGCCTACAATTTAATTTTTTTTAACTGTTGTCATATTTACTTATTTTAAAAAGGACTGAAGAAGAAGAAGTGATAAAGGCATCAGATGTAATGGCACACACAATAAATGATCAGTAATACAAACTAAACTTTTTAGACTGTTCTTGGTTCTCACATCCATCCAATAACCTGATGAATGTTTTGGGTTTTTCATTCAATAAGAGTTACATTTGCAGTAATTTTTACAATAAATGATTATTGTAGTGATATTTTTAAGGTGTCTTTTTGTTCATTCTTGTATGTAATAGAGAAATAAAGCAAATATTGGACAGCATAAGTACTAGAATGCAAAGCAAGTGACCATTTCTCACCTACAGTGTTTAGAAACTGTGGTCCCTTGCAAAACACAATAAGGGAGTTTCACTGTACAAGGTACATATAGATATTTCGTACCATGTGTTACAAATCAATTCACACATACTATTCAGTAATTTCATGCCTGTGCTCTAGCACCTAAATTGTACTCAACTGCATGAAGTTAATGATTATAATCATTAAAATAATGTACTTCTTTTGGCTTATTTTGGACTTCACCCATCATTNAGATAGAGACAGATCCAGTCTCCGAAACGTTGTGGTTTTTTGTCTTTTACACACAAGACGATGGGTGAAGTCCAAAATAAGCCAAAAGAAGTACAGTATACACCATCATCAGAATCCTTTCAAGTCTATCATTAAAAATAATGTTTATACTACAGTCTGATAAGAATAAGAAATATGTTTCCACATTAGAGCACTGTACAGAGAGCATAACTTTGAAAATATGAAAGTGCTTTCACATTACTCAATATTTTTCAAAATCTTGATGTTAAATAATATGCAGCTTATTACCCAACTATGCACCACATTGCCACTGTGCACATTCTAACACGAACACCTCTTTTAACATTACTTAAAATATGACACAGTTACGGTAGAGAAATTCAGTTAAACATCTCAAAATTTCTTCTCACAGAGCACATTGTAAGATATTTCTTCTTTCACCATTTTGGTGACAACTTGGCTGTGAATCAGAGGATAGCAATTATTGTACTTTACTTGTAGCGGGATGGGTCTGTTTCAAAGAGACTATGGGCCAGATAGCCTCATGAGAAATATGATGAAGTTCTAAAATTGTTAAACATCCAACAATTATTCACACTTATTGAACATACTTCACAGATACCAAAATACATAATGAATGCATTATTAACAATCAATTTTGAAACAGAACATCTCAATCTCAGAATGGTGTTCTCAGGGTGTTAAGCCATATATTAAACCAAATTTGGAGTGGGTCCCACTTATTTTTCATACCTAATTGTACATAAGGTAAGGTAAAGTTGTCCCTGTGTTCAAATAACTAAGCACTATGCCATGAAGACATACAGTGGAGTGGATGTGCACACCCACATTTTCTTAACCTCAGCACTAGTTGGAGGTTAGTGGTCAGCTTCATACCTGGCCGCTTTATCCGCTAGGGAAAAAGCTTCCAGTACCCATTGGATAGGAGGCTCGGTGGGCCCCATAGCCGGTCTGGATGATGTGGGAAAGCGAAAATCCTTGCAAACACTGGGACTTGAATCCCGACCACTTGAACATCCAGGCCAGAGCCAGTTGCTATACTGACTACGCTATCCAAGCTCCTAATTATACATAAAGTTAAAAAAGTAATGTATGTTAAAATCTGAAATTTTGTGTGTTACTTGCACACATGTATCTGAGGTATATTACTTGTACACAAGTATGAGGAATTAAAATTTAAATAAAATGTAATATATATTATTTATATCTGAATGCTACTGTAGGTCAGACTAAGTGAATAGTTTGCCAGTCAGTGCTACAGACAAACCTATGCACTACTATTCCCTGACACATTATGCAATTATAAAAGATGAGGGATTAATTCTTTTGCAATGAATATGAAACTCATAGGAACAAGAAGAATGAGACAAATTAACATGTATCATACTACATATTTCCACCTTCCTCTCTTTCCTTTTTGTTTCTTAAAGAAATAATACACAAATAATGTAATAGAAATTCTAAACTTAAGTGTAAAGATGTATTTTCACATATTTTAAAATTAGTCTTCTTAGACTGGTTAATTTATGCCATGTTGGTAGTAACCAATTAACCATGTCTGCCATTTGCAGTGCACACCAACAACAAGCAGAGCAATTTAAAGCAGTCGGCGTTTCTGTGTTAGAATTTTGTGAACACTGAAGAGTCTGAGATAGACTTTCACACATTTATCTTTCAGAGGAAAATACCATGAATACAGTGTTGTTAAATTCTGCATGTGATGTGTGTCTGACAGCTTAAAATATATCCTTCTCCTATTACAAAATGTAGCACGCAGTTTTCAGTGTTCAAGGTCTGCTGTGACACCTGGTACCACCAATTGATACAATACACGATCAGGGTCCTTTGCTGCAGCAACCAATAAAAAATAGACCAACCCCACAAATAAACATATGCTACACTGTGTTGCTTCTTCTGTTGTAAGGCTGTGGGTTGAGGTCAGAACTTTTGAATTTTATTAATGCAAAACTTACCTCAAAAGGAAGAATGAAAAGGGCACTGCAATATTCATACAGATTAATGTTTCTCCATTATTATCAGCAATTTTTGAGGTTTATTTTATGATACTTTAAGTATCTCAACTTACAAAGTGTCCAAAAGTAGGCTGACTGGTGACTAATGATTTGGAAAGGATATGGAAGCAATGAATTCTGGTCTAATCATGGTACTGAAATGACTAAAGAAAACCATGGAAAAATCAGTCACAATAGCCAGTGTCTCAGCAGAGATTCAAACTGAGCACCTTTGGAATATAAGTCTAGGGAACTGTTACTATAGCAACCTGATTGGTTAATACAAATTATTATACAGTAAATACTTAAAAGCAATTTCAGAATTTAATTTACAGAGACCAAATGTTTAGGATAACATACTTAACAGTGACAATACCTCTCATCACTGTATGTGTAGAAATTCTGCCTCCTATCAAAGCCTTTGTAATTTTCTCCTTCACAGTCACTGTAAACCCCGCATTATACAAAAATGTTATATTTACAAAAATATTCATGAAAGAACTACAGTTGTAGAGAAAATAATATTTGTTATTATTCTGACATCACTTGAAAAGTATTATTTCCTGGGATGTGACATTGTGCAGTACAACAGAAGTTTGCTAACATTTCTGAGAAATGTTGACAAACTTCTGTAAGACTACAAGGCATCACATTCCAGAAGACAGCACTCTTCATTGTCACTACCATGACAGCCTCACATCAAACAACATCACTTGCTGTTCCCTTTATCAGACGAAACAGTCCTTCACAGGTTGGGTACAGACCTGACAAGTTTGATACTATTTAACTTTCTGAATCTGGTCTAGTCTGGTCAAATTACTCAGTACACATGTTTTTTCACAGTATGGAAGCCTCAGCTGTCCATAACTGTTCAAAAATACACTCTTTATTGCACTAAATTAACCTATGTCAGTCATGCACTGCACCACTGTGACTGTGCATATGGCCCAGCTTTTTTTAAATCCACTATTCCTGAACGATAAAGGCCAATTTCCTTTTCCAGTTTCTGAATCACATCAGCTATTATGCACAAATCCCACATTTTACGCCCAAATCACTACTGGTCACATTTGATAAGCTGTTCTAAATATTTGTATAAGAGAAATATTCTGAATAAGGGTAATATTTGTGTCAATTGTAAGGTCTGTTCACACACCTTGCTATATAAATGTGTCTGTGTGTGCATTTCTTACAGTTCCTTAAAAATAAGATCCTGTGTATGGTAGCATCAACAGGTCATTATTTCAGAATATGGATTTATGACCTGAGCACTCTCATCTAAACATACAAATCAGGCATTCCTCAAACTAATGTCACTAGGGAGGCCTAGGAAGTCTAGAGGGCAAATTTAATATATCACACTCTACACATTCTCTCCAGTGTGTTTTCAAAATAGTATACAAAAAATATTTTTCTTTTAAACACTGAACCTAAAGCTAATTGGAGCACTGATTATTTTACACTTAGATTTTAGTAAAAGTTTCATAAAAATTCATAAACAGAAAATCTTGTAAAGAGTACTCCAAATCTGCTAATATTGACAACATTTATATTTAGTCCACACAGTTTAGTATATGTTGAAAACTTTCATAAAAATTCATCCAGCCAGAGTGGAGATACCTTATCTATATAAAAAGGTAGTAACAAATGGTTTTCTTTAACTTCAAATAACACCTAATGAATATCTGCTAATCTTATGTTTACTTTATGGATCCAGTTGCGCTATGGAATCAAGGTTCAAAGTGGTTGCCTACATGACAATTTGTTAATAAAATTGATAAAATCAAACAAAAATAGAAGGTCAATATTTAATATTCCTTAATTTTATCAACAAATTGTTGTGCAGATGGCCATGTTGTGCCTTAGTTAATCTTTAGTCTCCAAATGCAAGGAGCCAACTTACAAACAATAAATCTAAAAACTTCATTCCCAATACATAACCACTGTCGGGTCTCAGAGAAGACTGTAGCACACAAACCACATGTTTCTTGTATGCAAATTTCAGAGCACTGCAGTCTCTCAACAGATTGTTATCTGCATATGCTGACTAAAAATTATAAACTACCATAATTTTGTTGGTTAAAAATTACTAACCACAGTATGCCTTCATTACACCAAGATTTTGATCATGTTCCCCCATACTATTACACACGTTTTATGTCACACAAATTTTTATGAACTGCTCTGGTTACAGTACAAGACTGTACTGCAACATTCTTTGCTGCAGTGAGCAAGCACAAAGGGTAGAGTCTAGCTACTGTTGGACCACTCCATCCGATCCATCAACTGATGTCCTAAAATAAAAACACGGAAAGATCAAAGGTTTGTTTCTGTCAAATAGAGCTACATTCATTCAGCCAATGGATCAAGACATCATCTGAGTCTTCAAAGCCTATGACTGTGGTGAGCTACTTGGTGGAGTTGCAGCTCTGCCAATTTGGAAATTTCTGAAGACACGAACACTAAAGGATGTCACATATGGGGTTGATCTAGTCCAGGGAAAAATCATGCCAACCACTATTGCAAACTGTTATGAGAAGTGTTCTGGAAAAGATGATGTCATAGTAGATGAGACAAAATGAATTCCACATCCTTAACAGGACATTCAAGCTGCATGTGATGTCTCTGGCAGTAATTTAGAAGCAGATGACCTGGTGGCTTGGTCTGAGATAAATGCAAAAGCTCTGGTATGCAGTATCTTAGTGACCAGGACACCGCAGCTTTTGTAAAATGTGAGACAACTGATGAACTTGGAGCCGGTGATAAAAGAAGTGCCTCAGAAAGAAACACTGATGATTCCTGTAAAGTAGTGGTACCAATATTGAAACAAAGTGATAGAAAATATGGTGACATGATGCCTGATAGCAGAGCCAAAGTTTCAATTTGGTTATTTATAGTTTTCACAAAAATCAACTTTATAATTACCAAATTAGGTACCATATGAAGATGGATGGGGAAACCAAATCAACAGACTGAACATAACACTGATTTCAAACAAATAGTACCTACATGTCTGCAATGAAGACTTAACTATATTTGTAAGCTATACTGCAATAAATATTCACCAGCCTGAAAAAATAATTAATCACACATGTTGTTATTTATATCCAAGTGCTACTCTGTCATATGCTGGCACTTTAAGTTATCCACTGTTACATAAGAACAAAATATCATAGTCTCCAAGCTCATGTTCAGTGATCACCATATCATGACCAGCTCCGTGTTAATGAAACCTAGTTGTACCAGAACCAAGAACAACACAACCTTGTTTCTCTCCCACACCAAATCATTTAATTACTTCACTCTCCTTCATAGAAAAACAGATTTTCCAGATCACAGCACAATCCTCACATAGTCTGAGGCAATACCTCATTCCTAGCAGGCTGGAGTGTAACACCTGCTTGTGTCTAACACAGGCACAGGTGTAACTTTATCTTCATCTCACTTAGTTTTTGCAATACCAAAATTGCAATATAAACTTTCTCAGCTCAGTATTTAAATCTGATGCCCCTCAGAAATATGAAATATGTATTTCAGTGTGTCTGAAATTTGAATATAATCAATTACTTGTGAAAATGACTATTAACTCTCCTGGTATTATTCTGCAAACAAAAAAGTTTTAGTTTATATATGAACGGAAACTGTATGTATTCAAACAAAATGCAATCTCTTACCCTGGTAAAAATTAGTCAATTTATGCTTATTTTGCAAAAATTTAAAGGCCTCACACAGAGAAATAAAGTGTTAACCATGAAATGGAAAAGTAATTACAAGTACTTAATAGTCTCCACTCTGATGGATATGTCTTATGAATTCTTGGTTCAGTAAGTCAAAATATGTTAACCTAAGTAATACAACATTTTCTATTATTATAAAATCTTATATACTAAACTTACAAAACAGCATTTAATTCAGGATTGTTCTCAATAAGCGTTAGTATAAATTATTTATAATAAAAAATACACTTTTACAAAATATATATTATTCCCAAATATGTACTACAATTACAAGGGTACCAGTCTGTTGTGCTGTTTCCTTCTGTCACTATATGATGATTCTGATGAGTACACAGCAGTGGTTCTCAACCTTTGTGAGACCACAGCCCAGTAAATTCTTTATAAGACGAGGGCCCAGTATAATTGATGCCAAGGCCCGGTACCAGGCCGTGGCCTGGTGTTTGAGAAACACAGGTATAGACAACATTAACTGGATAAAGTCAAGATTACAGACAACTTACAAGCAACTTTACCCTGAAAATATGTACCTTCAGTCTACAATTATATTGATTATACTTCAAATCATGAGAAGGCAAAATGCATAATAATAAGCTAAACTTTCAAGTCACACTCAATTACTAACCTGTTCAAAAGTAAACCATTAAATTCTCTGTCATAAAAACTATTATCACTATCCAAAGTCAAAGAGGCAAAACACTGAATGTCCATTCCTAATAAATGTAAAATTGGATGGACTCACACTACCACATCATCACAGCTCACAAATGACCAACAGCAAGGCTTTGTTTTCACTGGAATGCCATCATACTATACAAATAGCAAAAATAACGAAAAATACAATCATGGCCTTTGCACATGAAATGCTACACTGTAATAAACAATGAAGTTCATGTAATACACTTCCATTACTTCATACAGAAGCCAAAATTTCTTTGCAAATAAAATTAATTTAGGCTTTGACTAATCTTTGTTCATCCAGGCACTAGCTGCAAGGTCCGTACCAGTAAATGTCTGTGTTTAAAAGCAGCAACATTATCAGCCATACTGGATCTTACCTCACAGCACAGTTGAGAATCCCTGTAACAGGTAGCAGGCACTATGCATGCAACAATCGAAACCAAATTTATTGCTACCACATTTGTATGATATACTCATCAGAACCAGCAAAATGCAAGTACATTCCATCAGAACAGACCACAGTCCTTGAGGTTGTTCTTGATAATGACATCTGTGACTGCATCAAACACGAACTGGATGTTGTTAGTGTCTGTAGCACACGTGAAGTGAGTGTAGATCTCTTTCTGATCCTTCCGTTTGTTAAGATTCTCAAACTTCAACTGGATATATGCTGCGGCTTCTTCATATGTATTAGAACCTTAAAAATACAATTTGGTGTAACTGGACATGTAGCGTATGCTTATTAAAACAATAAAAAATGTCAGTTTTACTTATATAATTCTCACAAAAGTATAATCATCTCAGGCATATATATGTGTGTGTGTGTGTGCGTATTTTACTGGCTTACCTGTATATTCAGGAAAGCAAATAGTCAAAGGACTTTTTGTTATTTTCTCCTCAAACAGATCCTTTTTATTCAGAAACAGGATTATTGATGTTTCGACAAACCATTTGCTATTACAGATGGAATCAAACAGCTTCATAGATTCAACCATCCGATTCATTTCCTCATCTTCTGCCAAAACTAAGTCATAACCTGAGAAGAAATAATGTTAAATAAAATGCTAATCCTTGTTTCAATGAAATTTCATTTTGTGTGTTGGAATGAACTCTGCATTTCCTGTTGATATCAGTATTGTAACCAATCCCTACCAGCTGATACTGAGCGGGCTGATGTGGCATATTAACTATCCTGACTGAGACTTTTCATGGCTTTTTCAGTCCCTCCAGCCAAATGCTCATATAACATGCAACTGCATCTTTCAAGTTTTTTTTATTCATTAACCATCAATCATCCTACTACTACTCAGCCCTGATGTTGATGGTATCATAAAATAAACCATAAAAAACCACTATTAATCAACATACCTTCACTTCTTTCGATACAAATGGCACAGCATACAGATGCACAATATAAAAAATCTTCTATTTGATATTCAGTGTAAGTTTAATCCTGCTGTCAACAAATGTCCGTGGCTGTCAAATGTTCTGATAGGTCAATGGTTGAAGAATTAGTATTAGTGTTTATGAGATATTAAAAACATATTTCCTTATCTCATTGCTCATTTCATCGCATGGTTCCAAGATGTGGGTAAATTAAAGACTATTATTAAACTAAACATCAGTAAACTAACAATTTCCAACATGAAACAGAAGCAAGAATGGAGCAGTTGGAGAGTAATCACTGTGAGAACTGAGCTATGGGGAGAAAACTAAGACTGATCATGGAAGTCACCAGCACAGCCCTTGGAAAAGTAGAAATGGCAGTCCACCTGTAGGCTATTCAGGACCAATATTCTTATGCAAAGAGCAATGTGGCACGCAAACCTGTTGCTGGGAAATAACCATGAGATTAGCGAATATACAACAGCCATTATTGAGTAGTGGCTTTGAAAAACATCCATTACAGAGTGATGGCTTCAAGCACAAACATGTTCTCAAGGCACCAATTGAACCACAACAATGAGAAGCAGTGTTTTCTGTGCGGTCCATGCCAAGATGGTATAAATGGGACAAGTTTGGAGCTGCAGTTAGTCAGTTACAGGACAGCTGCAGTTCAGTCCTTGTGAGCTGTTGCTGTTAGAAGCTGGTAGCTGAGGCATGGGGGCAGTTCAGGAACCTGGAGGAAAGAGAACATCTGCCATTGGGAGCCATTACCAGAGAACTGGCAAAAACACAGCAGGCTGAGAAGACTTAGTATGCAATATAGTGAACTGCAGAGTGTGTGTGAATTTATGACAGCAGTATAGTTACCTGTAGTCATAATCTTTAAGTGTTCAACAAATCCAATTACCAACACAAACGCCATCTATAGTCACTCATACATGTGAAAATATATTATTATATTGTAACAGATTTGATCAATGCGTTGCCAGGCTACAGCTCTGTAAACACAGTCCTAACATGCAACAATAGAAGAGGTTGTGTTTTCCATGTTGCCCGTGCTGAGAAGTGGTGGAACAACCCCCTTCTAAGGAATGGCTCAGTAAACATATTTCTGTGTATCAGACCATGCTATGAAAGTGGTGACATCATCAACAATAGAGACGGTGTTTTCTGCGGGGTCTGTGCAGTGTTTGTAAGAGAAGGGAGTGAGAGAATTCATTTAGGGCAGTTACGAGTCAGTCATAAGCTGGAGGAGTGAGTCCAGAAGAATTTTTAGTTCAAAAATTCTAGAGTAACTGAAAACGAAAGAGCGAGAAGACTTCATAGTGATTTGAAGTGCTAATTTCTGTGTTCAGATCTGTCACTAGGAGACAACTAGTGGAAACTGAGAATTCCAGCGCGTGTGTGACGGTGGAATGGAAAGTGTGTGAATCAGTGATAGCACTGTATTAATGGTAATTAAGTGAACTTGTAAATGAAGTGCTAATAAATCCAATCATCTGAACTAGAACCCATTATTTTTGTCATGTGTACCACCCTACATGTGATAATACCATACACTAAAGTTGAGATTTGCTATTCTTATAGTAAAAATGGGTGTCTGATGAGAAGTGATTTGTATATGTTGTCTTGATACTGGCTTAATACACAGTCAGCTGTACAACAGTGAGGGGAGTTTCATGATGTAAAAGGGGTGCACAAAAATATTTCAAGTAGGATATTCATGTCTCTGTTTACATAATGATTTACAGAACAGAATGCACACATCAAGGAACATTAGTGCATACTAATTACACATACATTAACTCATAAAATAAGGCTATATCCTACATTCATCAGAAGACAAGTTCTGTCCATGAAGAACTGGCATATTAATGAGAAAAAAAAAACAACATAAAACAGTACATAAAACCAAATACATGTCTAGAATATTTACATATTTATGGCAAGTCAGTCTTCTTCCAGTGTAAGTTATCTTGCCTCCTCCCCCTCAAAATTGCAGTACTCTATAAAATTTGGTGGAACAATTCCATACATAATGCATAGCACACAAACATACCTGACAGTGCCACACAGAATATGATTGCTGTCACACCTTCAAAACAGTGAATCCATTTCTTCCTTTCTGACCTCTGACCTCCAACATCAAACATCCTGTTACAAAGAGATTCACATGGAACATTAAATACAGTTTCTTCCACAATTAAAATTCACAGTCACACCCCAAGGAATCTGAGGTTCTTTGCACACAATTCAGCGTCTGTAAGACTTTTATCTGACCCTTTCACAGCTAGTTAGACAGCTGTGCAACAGCCAGTATTCAAAGATGTGTCAGCATCTGGAAATCCAAGCAATATTTCATATTCACTTGTAAACATATATTTCAAGAATAATTAACTTGTAGATTTTAATATTAGTAATGTTGTAGGTATACCTACTGCCCTACTCTGTATTTTTTCCTTACAGGAATGAGATCGAGGATACCTGGGTATTTTGTGCCGGGATAGAAGGATCAGGTCTTGAGGCATAAAGCAGTGTCGTGTGTTAAACGACTATATTAGTTCTATTGTTAGAAAAATCATTGTATTATTTTAGTATAAGATGGGGTACCCAAAAGAAACCGAACTATTTTTTTTTTTTGGCAGAGCTTTTGTAGTACCGCGTACCGCGTTTTGTCGCAATGAGCGCATAGAGCTAACATTCCTGAGTCGATAAGCCCACTACCGCTGCTTC